TGAATGTACAAATGTGCTTTACACAATTGATGTATGTATGGGTTGTGATAAGAGTTATATGAGTCCCTAATAAAACTATTAAAAATGAATAAATAAATGTCATTGTCAGCAAAAAAAAAAAGATCAATATTCTAGGCATTAAGTAGCCTAAATGAACTGGTGTAGGTAGTTTTGGATCAGAAAATCATAAGATTTACTATTCCAAGAATGGAATGAATGTCAAGATGAATATCATTGCATTCACGGACAAAAAGACATTTCAGAACCTATCTTGCAGTACCACTCTATTAGTGGTAGGATTATATCTCTCCACATACAAGACCATTCAATCAGTAAAATTCCTATTAAAACTATCTACTAACCACCAAAGATAGCGATGCAGAAATTGAAGAATTCTACCAAGCTCTTTAGCTTGAAATTGATCAAACACACAATCAAGATGCATTGATAATTATTGGTCATCAGGATGTAAGAGTTGGAAATAAAGAGTAGATGTTAGAAAATATGAATTTGGTGAGAAACGAAGCTAGAGATTGCATGAAAGAATTTTACAAAACTCATGATTTGCTTATAGCTTATAGTTTAAAAGCTTATAGCTTTTAAACAACATAAAAGGCAACACTACAAGTAGACTTCTCCAGTTGAAATATATAGAAATCAAACTTACCACAGCTGTAGTAAGAGACAACGGACAAGTTCAATATCAGCAGCTAAGCCTAGATCAGGAGCTGACTCTGGGACAGAGCATTGATTGTTCATATCAAGTTCAGAAGAAAGTTGAATAAAATTAAAACAAGTCCACAAGAGCCAATTTATAACCTTGAGTCTATCGCACCTAAATTTTTAGAACATCTCAAGAACAGATTTGGCACATCGAAATCTAATGAAATCTGATGAGCTGTGGGATTAATCAAGACCATCTTTCTTAGAGAAAGCAAAACATCACTAAAAAGACAAGGGGAAAAAAAGAAAAGATCAAAGTAGAAATCAGAAGACTCACTGAAACTTGCTCTTAACTGAAGAATAAGTAAGGCAACAGAAAGAAATGATGACGTCGAAGAGCTGAACAAATCATTTCAAAGGGAAACTCAAGAAGACAAAGGAAGATATTTTAATTAAATGTATAAAGGTGCAAAGTTAAGCCAAAAAAGAAGAAAACACTCAATAGATCTTAAACCGAGTAAAAATTCTAGCCTCAAGTGCAATACTACAAGATTCCATGGGCAAAATATTGAATGGTGCAGGAAGCATCAAAAGAAGATAAAATAAGACATACAGCTATTGTTCCAAAACAAAGTAGTTGACATTTCAATTATTTCAGGATGTAGCAGATGAGCAAGAACCAATGGTGCTGAAGGAGGAAGTTCAAGCTGCACTGAAAGCATTAGCTAAAAATACATGTCACCAGGAACTGATGGGCTTCCAACTGAAATGTTTCCACAACCTGAAACATTCACTCATCTATGCCAGGAAATTTGGCAGACAGCTACTCAGCTAACTGGAAGGTATCCATATTTTTACCCATAACAAAGAAAAATTACCCCCCCATTGACAAATTACAGAACAATAATATCGATCTTACGTTCAAATAAGTTTTTTTTTCTAAATATCGTACATTTACAGGGAGCTACCAGAGGTTCAGGCCAGATTCAGAAGAGGACATGGAACAAGAGACACCATTGCTGATGTCACATGTAACTTGACTGAAAGCAGAGAATACGAGAAAAATGTTAACTGTGTTTTGTTGATTATGCCAAGGCATTCGACTGTGAGGATCATAACAAACTGTGGATAGCCTTGGGAAGAATGGGAATTTCAGAACATTACATTGTCCTTATGTGGAACCTGTATGTAAATCAAGAGGCAGTTGTGGGAACATAACCAGGGAAACCTGCCTGGTTTAAAGTCAGGAAGGTGTGTGTTAGGGGTGTAGTCTCAGTCTCTCTGCTGAGCAGATCATCAGAGCATCTGGATTACACAGGTGAAGAAGAACACAGGGTTGGGATTGGAGGAAGGCTTAGCAACTGCAACAGGCAGCTGATGCACCCTTGCTTGATGAAAGTGAAGAGGCCTGAAGTACTTGCTGGATTACAACTCGGTGTAAAGAAAACCAAAATCCTCACCACTGGGTCCATGGGTAACGTGATAAATGGACAAAAGATTAAAGTTGTCAAGGATTTCATCTTTCTTGGATTTGCAATCAATGCTCTGGAAGCACCAGCCAGGGATCGAAAGACACAGTGCCTTGGATATGCATCTGCTGTACAAGATCTCTTTAACGTGTTGACAAGCAAGGTGGTCATTTTGAAGCCAAAGGTGGTGCACCTAACTCAAGCCAAGCCATTTTCTATTATCTCATGTATATGTGAAAATTGGACCTTGAATAAACAAGCCCAAAGAGAAATGCATTTATTTGAACTATAGTACTGGTGAAGAATCTTGAAAAAGGACCAACAGCTCTGTCTTAGAGGAAGTACAGCCAGAATAATCCTTAGAGGCTGGGGGTCAGACTTTGTCTCATGAACTTTGTACATGTTTTCAAGAGAGATCAGTCCCTAGAAAAGGGTACCTTGCTTGCTGGAAGGGCAGTGAAAGATGAAGGCCCTCAATGAGAGGGATTGACACAGTGGCTGCAACAATGAGCTCAAACATAAAAACAGATACTTGGATGCCACACGACCAGGTAGTATTTAGTTCTGTTGTATATAGGATTGCCATGAGTCCAAACCAACTGGAGGGTAGCTAACAACAAGAAAATGATTAACACCAAGGAAACACTATGGCACAATTCTATTCTGTCACAAGGGGACACTGTATGTCAGAATCAATTTGATGCCCCCCAACAATCACAGCCTGGTAGGCTTCACCTTAGTTTGAGTCCTTTCTGATTTTGTAGAGACATAAACTTCTTTCATAACTTAGGGTCAGCCTTTTGGATTCTTAGTGTAGGAGAGAGTTTCTTAAAGAGTCCAATTAGAGCAACAAGACTGTTCTAAATTGACCTTAAATCTCCCAGAAGATGAGTGGTCCTACTGTCAGTATTCATTTCTCAGCATTTGGCTTACTTTACAGCAAGCAGTACATGAAAACTAAAAGAATTTGATTGTGTACCGAATGGAATTAGAGTTTTGTTCAGGTCTTGGTCTGAGACAATGCTGTGTGGGCTATCAGAACTATGGGTGCAGAAAGGGTGCAAAGGCCATGGCTGTCCTCCTCCAGTTACACGGCAGAGAAAGCGCAGTCAATTGCATAGATTCCTAAGGATGATTTCTAGGAGACAAATATCAGACATGCCTCCACTCTCCAACTTTCTGTACCCTATTCTGGCACAAATCATCCCCATTTCTTTGCTTGGTTCAATACTCCATAACAACGTCCACATAGTTCTTAGATAACACCGTTATCAGGTGTATGAGGGAAGTTAGCAGGTTCCTAGTCAGGAACAATAATGTTAAGGTTACATCGATTTCTGTATGCCAATGTCACCTTTTGGTGAGCATTCACATGAGACACAGATATCTTCACATATCTTCCAAAGGGCCATTTAGATAAGTCTGTCCACAAAACTTTCCCCACAGATTCTTTACCCAAACTTTCTAATCACAAATCACAGTCCTTTCAATTCTCTGACCATCCAGCCAGACTAGTGGCCATAGCAAATGAATAAATGTACAAATAATATACCTGGCCATGTATCATTTCAAGTAAAATGAACAACAAAGTGTGTTCTTTGCTGTTCTCCCCTCTGAGAGGATTCTTCTACTTGTAGCTATCAAGTAAAATTTGCATGTTTTATTTCTCCTGAAGATACCATGACTGAATAGCCAATGCCATAAGTAATTAGGAGTTAGACTATTGTGGCCACCACTCTGTCTCTGCTGTCCATTACCTTAACTATGTCCACCTTGCATTTGTCATGTAAGGCCATTTAGCCTTTACCCCCGTGGTAGCCAACCTGCAATTATAGTGAGTATCTTCATTCAATTAAAGTAGCTACCCCTGTCAACATTGGCTTACATAAAATTCCAATTGCAGCAGCATGCTATGATGCTGAGACTCCCTTCACAATTTGTTCTTCACTGCTGTGGAAAAAGGTTTGCCATCTGAGTGTTCCATTTGTGGATCAGTGGACATAGTCTGATAACATCAGCCAAACATGCAATGCATTTGACTCAAGCAATGTCCTAAGCAACTCTTCAGGTCCCTCTCTTGGTGATATCTCAGATAAAGAGTCCTTAAGTACAATAGAATTAGTCCCATCAGGTGGTGGTGGAAGTACCAAGAACATTGAGCAGTAAAAGAGCAATCTCTTCAAATGGGGAGTAAAAGTGTGAATCTGTTACTTTCACTGCCCTCAAGTCAATGCCAGCTCACAGCTACCCTTTGAAAGAGGGTAGAACTGCCCCTTTTGATTTTCCAAGACTATAACTGTTCGTAAGAATGTAACGCCTTGTCTTTCTCCTGAGGACTGACTGGTAGTTTTGAACTGTTGACCTTGAAGAGCACAGTCCAATCCATAACCGCCATGCCACCAGGGCTCCTGTTAGGAGTGATTTTTAAAATGAAGAGATGGAATATCAACAATTTTCTAATTATCTGCCCATATTTCCCCAAATTAAGTTTTAAGACTCCATATCTTCCAACCATAGCACTTTAACTTCAGACACCATTTGAGGTTGAGAATTCTTGTAATTCAGCAACTCTTACGATAAGATTCATAAGGTTTTAGGCAATGTCATATTTCTTTCCGAGTACAAGGGGTAACTTTCGAGTCTTGCATGGGGCACTTGAGCTATGAGTCCCACCCTCAGAGCTCATTCTTTTCTTTCACCACTCTGTCTATTGGAAAGTAGGACCAATCAACTAATGC